TTTTTGTGTTTTTGAGGTCCTCGGAGGCTAATCAGACCAATGGTCCCCTAGCTTGTTTGAGCCAGGATCTCTATGGTCAAAAGGAAATCTTAAATGAATTTCCAACATATACAGGGACAGGGGAGAATGGGTACCAAAGGGGCCTTAATTGTGTCTTCAGTATTCTAATTCCTTACAAGAAGGATATATTAGTAGATTTCCTGTAAAATTAAAAAATTAATTTTTTATAAAGTCCTACATGTAAAGTAGACAAAAGCAGAACTTCTGGCTGAAGCTTCCCACCCACGCAGTCTCACCTCCCTACTCACCACTGATAGCGCAGCGTGTCACCTCAACACCCCTAAACTCTGCAGGGCACCGTGTGAGAACCTCTAGTTATAGGTGAGGAAACTTGACGTTCAGAAGGGGTGGCATGAATTGCGAGCTTGGGAATGACATGTATACACTACTATGGATAAAATGGGTAACTAATGAGAACCTACTGTATAGCACAGGCAACTCTATTCAATGCTCTGCGGTGACAAAGAGGGAGTATATGTATGTATGTATATGTATAGCTGACTTACTTTGCTGTCCAGCAGAAACGAACCCGATGTTGTAAAGCAACTAAACTCCAATTTAAAAAAGTTATATAAAAGGAAACGGGAGACTAGTGAGCAGCTGCTGAGCCTTGCAGCCCGTCACACACGGGCATCCCCCTGGTGAGAGGCTGGGCACAACTATTGCCCTGGCACCCAGGCCTGCGTGAAGGAAAATGTGAATCAATTCTGCTTCCCACAGAAGGAGGCTTTTCAGTATGCATGCCTGGTCTCTTCCGCCTTCAGCCCGAAAGCTGATTTTATTTTTGCATTTTATGAGCTTGAGAGAGGGAATTCATTTCCTTGGTATAATATGACCCTCTGGAGAAAGTCTTGTCCAAATACATTTTGCTCACAGGTTCTGTCCTGGAAGATGGGCTGTACTGAAATGAAATGGAAAGAAATGATTACAGTCTGATTTATAGGTAAGGTGAATTGGTAGGTTTACGCCAAATTATTGCATCCAGGAAGGTGAAAAGGAATGACAGGCTCTTCCTAGAAGCTGTAAACCTTTATAAAAAGAAATTTTTAGGGTGCATGTGCTCTTGTGCTAGCTAGCCTGTATTTTAATATAGTCGCTGTATTTGGCCCATTTCTCTCTCACTAGACTACAATCCCTGAGGGCAGCAACTGCTTTCATTGCATCTTGGTATCCCCCATGGGGATGTTTTTGCAACCTTATTTATAAGAAAGGGAGTCTACACAGAAGACTGTTTTCAGTCTCAAGGGGGTGAACTGCTTCTTTCTTCCCCACTGGCTGAGTAATACTTTCTTCATCCCAACCTAGTTCTTAGAGACATCAGGGCCTCTTAACAATGACTCCTCCATCTCACCACCTCCCAAAAGCACGGGTGATAAATTATGCTTCTTTCAGGTGATAAGTAATATGGTAAGAATATTAACAACAAGCTTTTATTGAGTACTTTTATGGATCAGGTATTTTTCTAAGCATTTTCTGGGTGTTACTCCATTTAATCCTCACAACTTCCCTGTGAGATAGTAATTGTTATTATCTCATTTTACTGAGGCTTGAGGTGCTTCAGTAACTTGCTCAAGATCACAGAGCTAATCAGTGGAAATAACTTCCATTTTCTGGGTGCTTATGGTAGACCAGGTACTGTACTGATCACAGTAAACTGATGACCTCATTTTATAGTCCTCTTAACCCTCAAGAGGTAACCCCTCATCTCCTCCTCTTGCACCCCACCATGTGAATCCTGCTGACACTCAGGCTGCCCTTGAAGCAGGGTTCCTGACCATGGCAACCCTACCAGGTTAGGTAGGGTATTACCAGGACCCCACCTGGCATCACTAGGATCAAGTCTTCCAGGGCCTCCCCAGGGTTGTGCCAACTGTAAGGAGTAGAACCAGATTTTCTAATGCCAGTTCCTTCCTGTGCTGACCTGACTCCTTTATCTGACTTGGCCAACAGCCTCTGGTAGATGGGGATCTGAATGTTTAGGAGGATGTCTTTATTTAATTTTCAGTTTATTCATTTTCTATTTTAAAAACAGAGTTGTTTAATGGGTACAGAGCCTCAGAAGAAGAGTGAGTTCTGGAGCTGAAAGGTGGTGATGGTTGCAAGACAGCGTGACTATAGTTAATATTATTGAACTCTGCACCTAAAAATGGTTAAAATTGTAAATTTTATGTTGTATGTATTTTACCAGAATTAAAAAACCACACATATGGGTTTGCTTTTCTAACACAATAGTACGTCTGGGTTGGTTCAGCTCCTTGATGAAGCTAGGGTCTCAGAGTTTTTCTCTTTACTGTCTTAGCATGATTGTTTCTATCCTGAGTTCAAGGTATCCTCTGAAACGTCTTAAATTTCATCTGCTCAAGAGAGGAAGAAGGAGGGGAAGGGAGATATTAGCCATAGCTCTGGTTTTTTAAATCAGGTAAACCCCCAGAAGGGTTTTCTTCTACTTCATGGGCCAGAACTGGGTCTCATGGCCTTGCTCAGAAGCAGCGGCAACTGGAAAAGTGATTAATTAGCTTCCCAACCTTTGAGCTGAGGGGGTGCATGAGGGGAGAAGGCCTCTGGGAGTGAGAACTGATTGTGTCTGGTGCTCTGCCGAAGGTCACTTGGTCACACAGCAGGGCTGGCAGGCCCAGGACCCAGGCTCTGGCTTCCCCATCCTGAGCTCTTTTGCTGGGACATTTGATGAATTTGTAGTGGCTATTTTCCCAATAAAAAGGACTGTCCTGGAGAGTATCTTTCAAAGAGGAAAACTCTCCATAGCTTATATGTAACTGAAATTAATCAACTGCTAAGAGGTTGCGTTAGGAAAGCACTGGGCACTGGTGGAGCCAGGACACCTGAGCAGTGGCCTCAGGCTGGCCAGAAGTTTTGGGAAAGGTCCCCATGTCTCTGTGCTGATGAGGTGTAATTATATTTTTCTTGGTTAGTGTTGTTCATTAAGTGCCCAGTAAGTGTTTTGGTATCTCTAGATGAAAGGTACTCAAGAGGATACATATAGTTATTATTAACCAATCATGTGCTGTCAAGAGTGGGCTTATCACACAAGATGATATGTTTCAAATGTTGGATTAGGATGACAGAAACTTCACAACATCTGTCCAGACCAGGACAGTAGTGAAGTTGGGGGTTCAGGGGACACTTAAAATAAGGAATGTAAATAAACACCCCTATTATAATTACCTTGCCATTGCAAGGGAGCCAGATGTGTACATGTGGCTTTTGAAGATAGAGAATGGACACCATTCTCTTTTACTCCACCACTTGTTCTTTCTAAACAAGAGGCACCAAATAGGAACTGGCAGGCCCTGGCCATTCTTTGAGCCCAGAGTAAGCACATCCCCTTCTCTATCAAGCCTTCTTGGGTGACTCCAGATTATACCGATTCATCTTCATTCTCACCCCAGGGCGTCATATACAGTGAACATATAGCACTTAGTGGTGTTGAGGTTAACTTTTCATCTTAGTCTTACAAGCTTTGCCAGGAGTGGGCACTGTTTGGGGGCAGCAACACAAGGATTTTTGGAACTGCTCAACCCCAGGGCCCAGGCAGCTGGCCAGACACACTATAAACCCTCAATAAACATCGAAGCTGGACTTATGGGATGGGCTGCCTGTGGCTCTACCAGTTGGGAAATTTTTTTCATGATGCTTTGGAAACCAGTAGGATCAATTCCAGGTTAGAAGGTGAAGCAAGAATATCCCATTCCTGAAGGGGCATGATGCAGTTGAGTGCCCTCACAGAGTCCCCCGTGGTCAGACCACAGGGACACTTCCTGAGCTCAGAAAGACACTGACTTTCCTATAAGGGGAAAGGGTCCATTCTGCAAAACCAGAAATGAAATTGCTCCAAAGTGGGGTGATTCTTCAACGACAGGGGAAAAATAATGCAGCCCTGATCAACGTGGGAATGGCATACCCAGTCAACTGAGAAAGTCCAAAATATTATTGCAAAGAAGAATTATATTTTTATTAGTTCACATAAGAATATAAAAATAAATAAGTGAACAGAAAACAAACGAAGTCATTTTACAGAAAGCACATTCATTGCTTAAAAGTAGCATTTTAATGGCTTGGCACTTTCTGGTTATATCCGCTTGTCATAGTCCCTCATGCTGACAAATAAGAGATTGTTGGCTGTTTTCTCTGCATCTGTCTGCTTCTTTGTGTGGCTATTAAGAGACAACTGGCAATTCTGACAATTTTATGTCCTTAGCCATAACTACACTTGTCTTCTCTCTTGAATTATAAGTTCTTTGTATTTTCCAGACACTAACAATTTCTCCATATCATTCTCCTATGTCTTACAGATAGAAGGGGGTGGGGGCTGCCAGAAAGGCTGAAGCTGAATTTCGATTTCAATCATCTTTTTAAATTCTAAGTTCAGGCATCCAAAGACTAAACTTGCTTAGAGGTGCAAAAAGCCCTGAGTTATCACCACCACTTCAAGGAAGTCTTCATGGACACGAGAACTAATATCTGCTATCTAGGACCTTCTCAGTTTGGGTGTTCATGTCTCTGTTTAACTATCTCTTGCGTTCCCATCCATCACAAATATATTATACTGCTGGCATCAGAACATTGTGTTCTTACTGGTTGTCATAAAACTGACGCACTTGCAGCCTCAATTGAAAAGTTGTCAGTATAAATAACACATAAATTCACATTTTGCATAATAAGGCCCATTCCTTACATCAGGTCATGAGTGTATGAAACATATCTTGGCACACAAATGTTAAATAACAGTAATAAATTAATAAATACATAAATTACTTAAATATTTAAATAACATAAAAGTCAGTTGTGACCTGCTAGCTGGAAACACTATAAATAAATTAGCTGATTGTTTCAGTGAGCATTTAGCACTTAAATATAAAAATACAGCAAAGATATCTTTATAATCCTAAAAATAAAAAGCAAATTGGTAGAAAATATCTTCAGGGAGGTCTGTTCGACATGTCTTTTAAAAATTTAGCATAATGTCTTCCACTTTTCCTCCAAGGTTTCATCCTGAGGTTAGAACCTGGAAAAGAACGCCGAGCATCTATGTGGATTCGAAATTCAGCAGCAAACCCTTATTTCACACAACACATTATTTGGGCAGTTGGGTTTTGGGGATTCCATGTCAGAAGGGTGCTCCCCTTCCTTATGTGGCCTAAGATTCCGCTGGTACTATACTTGCCAGAGGTTCTCTTGGGAGTTTTCTTAAAAGACCATCTATCTGATCCTGTCATTTCCTTGCTTAAAGCCCTTCAGTGGCCCCAGGGGTCTCCAGATAAGATTGTAATTCCTGGGAACAGCTTGCAGGCCACCTGTGCTCTGACTTTCGGCTACTTCTCTCTCTGTGCCTTCCCTTCAGGAAGAGCGGGACCTGTGCCTGCTTTCTTTACTGTAGTGTCCCTGTGCCCAGCATTGTGCTTGGAATGCCATGGGCGTCAAATAAACACCCATCAATGAACAAACGTACGTTTCTATCTCTGGCGACTGCGTTTTGGGCACCGCCCCCCACCCCTCCTGCCCCACACCATCCCCACCACTGTCCTGATCGTGGGTACATCGAGTGCACAAGTGTGGGCTGGGCTTGCTGGCTTGCTCACCTAACTGCAGGACACAGATGCCCATTCACTCCAGAATGAGCTGTAGTAGCGGTCCCGGGCTTGCACGCGGATGCTGGCATCCTTGTGGCACGTGACTTTGGCTGAGGTTTGGTCCATGACTGGCGACTGCGTTTTGGGCACCGCCCCCTCCCTCCTGCCCCACACCATCCCCACCACTGTCCTGACCGTGGGTACATCGAGTGCACAAGTGTGGGCTGGGCCTGCTGGCTTGCTCACCTAGCTGCAGGACACAGATGCCCATTCACTCCAGAATGAGCTGTAGTAGCGGTCCCGGGCTTGCACGCGGATGCTGGCATCCTTGTGGCACGTGACTTTGGCTGAGGTTTGGTCCATGAAGAGTTTCTGCAAAGGACAGGGAACTTTTTGACAACGCAGTCACAAAGTGGGCTGGGCATATTTTGGCAAATACAGTCTCCCAAAACATCCACACCTTAGTCTCAGGGCACTATGCTCGGAATTCACAGGGCGTATGTAGAACTTGCGCCCCCTACTGACAGAAGCTCTCAGCATAGACACGATTTTTCTATTTTGTAAGCCCAAAGCTTGGAGGAATAAATTGGTCTAGGCTTCATTTTTTCAGCACAGTTGCCTTGCTTGAAGGCCCCATGTGCACTCACTCTAGTACTAGGCCAGTGGCGGGCTGAGACAGATTTCCTCCAGCTGTCCCTTGGATATTCTGAAATTCTGTAGTCTGATCCTTTTATCAGAAATATCTTTGTTCAAACTCAGGCATTACTGTTTATTAGCTATATGGTCACAGGAAAATGTCTTAGTCTCTCTGTGTCTCAGTTCCTTATTTATAAAAGAGAGATAATCATAATAATCACTCCATTATAGAATTTTATAAAAGTTAAAGTAGCAAAGTATTTAATCATGTAGAAAATTCTCTGTAAATACTACTACCTATTAATACTGTATATTAATAATATATTGAGAAGCACATAGCAAGATTTTAAATAAGATCTAGGTAAAATCTACTCCTGAATAGCCCTTCGTTTCCAGAAAAAAATTCTCAGGGAGTTCCTGAATCATCAAATTTCTACCACATATAAACACTATGCTGAATAAGGCCTTTATCTAGTGATTTCTACAACTGGGGTCCAAGGAGACTTTGGCTCTATAAAAGGGCCACTAGGAACTTGAGATTATGATGCTCAGGCAAGGAAGTTTGAAAGCCAAGGTCTGAGACAACATTCTGTTCAATAAAATAATTTCACAAGCTGGGAATTATCTAACACTTTAGATGAAACATAGCATGAATGTTCTATCACCCATTATAGTCATTCATTAGAAACAACTATTTTAGGCTCCTAGAGCCCAGATTTTCTATACCGAGGCCAATTCTGAGAGCAAAAATTAATGATCAACCATACTGATGGCAGTAGGGTCTTAAGTGCATGGCTTTTGTGTCCTGGAGACTGAGTTTGTGTCCAGGTCCTGCCACTTCCTAATTGGGTGACCTTGGGCATGTCACTCCACCTCTCTGAGCTTCAAAGTCTTCACTGGTGAAGACTAGTGTTACACTGCCTGCCTTTCCAGGGTTACTGTGAGAATTAAGTGAGATATGCAGAGAAAACCCTCAGCAGAGTTTCAGGCACATAGAAAGTACCAACTACATGGCTGATTCATGTCAATGTATGACAAAAACCACTATAATACTGTAAAGTAATTAGCCTCCAACTAACAAAAATAAATGAAAAAAAAAAGAAAGTACCAACTAAACATTAGCTGTTACTAGCATTATTAATCTTCTCCTCGATGTGGGCCTACGTAAACCTGACTACAGAACAGATGGCACCTGAATCACATCTTACCTTTTCTCTCTTGTTCTTTCCCTGGACCTGAACACAAAACGTCAGGGAGAAGTAGGAATGTGGGGTGCTCCACGTGTCAGGGTACTCCCAGCTGACTTCCACCTGCCGAGAATTCTTTAATGGTCTCAGTTGCAGGTTCTTGGGTGGGTCTGGTTTGACTGCAGAAGACAGAGAAACAGTTATTTTCCTAATGGGGCTTTGGGGTAAGGTAGTTTTGGCTTCTGATCCCACTTTTGCTGTTGACCAGCTCTGAGCCTCGGTCCATATAATAGTTACTGAACTTCTCTGATCTCCTGGTTGAGGGACATGAGTCACCCCGCAGGTGATGCTCATGCTGATGCCTGTGGGAGGCAGTCCTCACCAACCGCTGCTTTGGCTGAACCTAAGAGAGACTCAGAATCCGTCTCATCACTGTGCAGTCATACAGGCCTGGGGGGTGGAACAACCTCTGTGTGGCGCTCAGAGGAGAGATCTCAGAGACAACAAGACTTGCATCTGGGCTGGCAGTGAAGGACCAGACCACCCTCTCTGCAATCATTCCTCTCGGCACCAAACTCAGAAAGGGCAGAGCCTCTTGCTGGGGACCAGATGACAGATCCCCACTTAGTGCTTTCTCTTTCGCCTTTCCATGGAGTCTGACACTGACTCGTCCTGTGGCAGTGAAGCCAGTTTGTCTCTATGCTCAGTCACATATTCATTCAATAAAAAGCCCTCGTTATGCGCCAGCCACCGGACTGTGCGCAGAAGGCACAGAAAGATTCAGAAAGTCAGAAACACTCTGTCCTCAGATAATATGCCTTCTTCTAGAAGGGTGTAGGGAGGAGACGGAGTCCATAGAAAGGGCTTGAACCATCTGGACCCAGCACCTCTCCACACAAAGACGAAAGGCTCCTAGATGTTCCACAAATACTCTTTCCTCTTTCTTAACACAATGACATCTTGTTTCCTTTAGGACTCAGATAATGCCACCTCCTCACAGAGACCTTCCCCGGCCACCTCACATGGACAAGACCCCACCCTCTCCTTCCCGCCAAAGGCAGTCCCTCCACAAATGCTAAAGTAGGCTCTCTGATTCTATCACAGTTTATGTCACGATGCATGTTCACTGGATAAACGGTGAAAGATATGACAAATGGCAAAATCTCCGTCTGCCAATTTATAAAGAAGTCTCTTTCAAATGCTACATTCCCACATGTTGTTGGGAATTATTGCCATTAGGAGGGGAAGCTCTGGTTCTGCATATGAATATTATGCTTGAGGGACTGCGCTTGGATTCATCATGGAAGGTGCTTGCGTAGCAGAACAGAAGAGTAACCAGGAGCCTGCTCTTTTTCTGAGGCAGTCTAGGTCTGAATTGCTAGCTGTGAGATCTGGGGCAAGATGTTTAACCTAGCCAGGACTCAATTTCCTCTTCCTTAAAAGCAGTAATTGTATCTACATTGTAATTATTTTGGGGTGGAGGTGAAGAGTAAGAGATAATGCATGTATAAACCCTCACCCCACTGCATGGGGTACTGTGAACATGTGATGAATGGCATCATCCTGATTAAGCAACACACACAATCAGGCAGACTCACTGATGTCCCTGATGAAGAAGCTGCTGGTGTAGTTTTCATACTTGAGCTTGTGCACAGCTTCCACCACGACCTCAATGGGCAGGCTCTCCTCGGCGGCCGGGCAGGCGCTGCCCTCTTGACACTCCACTGTGTACTTCTTATACTCCCTGTGGTCCACAATGACCTTCTCTGTTGAGAGCGACACTGCTCCGCACGTCACCCCTCGGGGGTCAGAGGAGCTGAAATCAAAGACAAGTTATCCTGTGTCACACGACTGTAGGCGAGTCACTAGCCATTGTAGCCAGACATCTGTCCAAGGATGCAATTTCTCCAATTGGTTTGACTTCTCTCAAGGGGATAGCAACTACTCTCCCCATGAGACCAAGTGTTGCTTCGAAAAGTAGTACAAATGATTAGAAACAACTCTGCACTTATATGCCTCTGGACTAAATGAATCTGAAAATTTTTGGATCCAACGCTCCTGGTTAAATCTCCTTATTAAACATTTTAATTCATTTTCATGAACAAAAATCAACACATACCTATTATTAAGAAGATTAAGATAAATGAAATGTGTATGCCTCTTTTAACTCTATTCCCCCTTTTAGCCATAATCTCATGCCCTAGATATAAATACAAATACTTTTCCTGGCTTCTTGTATCCCTCCAGACATTATTCTATGAGTATTCAAAGCAATCATTTATCCACGTGTATGCATACATAAGGACTTTCCAGGTAGTGCTAGTGGTAAGGAACCTGTCTGCCAATGCAGGAGATGTAAGAGATGCAGGTTCAATCCATGGGTTGGGAAGATCCCCTGGAGAAAGGCATGGCAACCCACTCCAGTATTCTTGCCTGGAGAATCACATGGATAGAGGATACTGGTGGGCTACAGTTCATGGGGTTGCAAAGAGTTGGACACGACTGAAGTGACTTAGCACACATACACGTATTTGTCTATATACACATACATCGGTTTTATTTTTATGAAAAAGGATCAAATTATATATACATATAAAATATGTATTTTATAAGTTTTAAAATTCTAACCTATTATTATATTATATATGTTGTTGTTTAGTTGCTAAGTTGTGCTCAACTCTTTCGTGACCCCATGGACTGTAGCCTGCCAGGCTCCTCTGTTCATGGAATTTTCCAGGCCAGAATGCTTGAGTGGGTTGCCATTTCCTTCTCTAGGGAATCTTCCTGACCCAGGGATCAAATGCGCATCTCCTGTTTGGGAGGCAGATTCTTTACCACTGAGCCACCAGGGACACCCATATTTACATACATATGTATGTATATATATAATTCTGCAACCATCTTTCCCCCTTCTGAACATATGGAGTACCCCATGACACACCACATGGATTAGGTTATTATTCATTTTGAAGACTGCACAATAAGAGGGGGTATAATGTACCTCACTGTTTAAACCATTCCCTGCAGATTACCAAGAACATCATGATGAACCCTTGCATCTATGTCTCTGTGAACTTGTATGAGCATTTCTTTAATAAGCACTTTCATTTTAAAGATGGAATAGTAAGACTCCAATGGTTTACTCAGTTAAATAGTGGCCAGGCCAGGGTGATCACTTAGGGTTTGTTCTGTTAGCCTACATTGTTTGGGAACTTAGATGAGAGGGAAGGAAGTCACATAGAGGGCTAACGTAGGTTCCGTACCAAGGGAATTGGTTTCTTGGGGTAAGTCCAAGTGCATTGGACAGTGACCTTCAGATTAGTAGTGTCAGCAGAAGAAAAAGGAGTTGAAGTGGCCCTGGGGAAATTTCTAGAAGCTTCACAGAGTTTTTGGAGTTGGTCTCAGGGCTTACAAGATCCATGCCCTAGGGCTCTTGTTTCTATTTTTGACTCAAGGTGCAATTTTGGCAAGTCCTTCATAGCTTTGATTTCTCCTTTTATTCTCTCCCTGTGGTGCTATGAGCCTTAATGAAGCATTGCCAGGCAATTTGGTTGTGTGGGTTCATACATAGCAGAGGCTATTCCAAGCCCCAATAATATCCTGTTCTAATGCTTACATTTATTCAGACAGTTAGTGTAAACCTTCATGTTCTTTCCCTAATTTAGGGAAGGGTGTGTATATGTGGAGAGGGGTGGTTAAAAACATAGGATTGATCTTATTTTCTCCCTTCTCATTAACCAATAGGCAATTGCTAGGTTGCCCTTATTTTCTTAATGAGAAAGTTCAAGAGAAATGTTGAGAAACCCCAGCGATTTCACTTACCCTCTGCTGCTTTTGACACTGAATTTCAAATCAGTACTGATTGCTGTCAGCCACCAGCAGGTGAAGTGTCCAGAATAATCCTTTGCCTCACATTTTAAAAAACTCTTAGCTTTGGGTTCTGTATTTGAAAAGAACAAAAATTCAATATTTAGGGATTTTCTTTCTTTTAAAATTGCACAGATTTTTATTGCCATAAATTACAGACCACATATGGTATAAGAGTGAAGATTTTCCATTTATGTCCTTGAAAAATACTGCTGTTCCCCTGGCAGGCAGTTCAGTGAGGACTGCAAAGGTCCCAGGAGGATGTTGATCCTATAGATTATACTACACACCTAATATATCAGAGGGAGGTATTAATTCCTTTCAAGGCTATCAGCCCAGAGTTGAGCTACACACACTGCATGTTAACTTCCGTTAGTCGTCCAATCACATTACTGCTATTTGAAAAGAACCTCAGGAAAAGCATCTAGATTCCCTCTGAAACTCTCTCAACAGGAGATTTTGATGGTCAACAATCCAAAGTGTTCAGCAAAGGAAAAACAAAGCAAAGGAAAATTTAGGTTTTGGGTGGTTTCAGTAAGGGACTTGGTATGACTTAATTAACCATATTAAGCATGTCTTGCCTTTTAAATTCTAAATTTTTTTTTATCTCTTATGGAGCCAAAGAGAAAACTGACACCATCCAAGGGGATGGGATTACCTTTCTGATCCTTTAAAATATCAGTGGACCAAATTCCATCTTCCTTTTTGTGCAGCAGGAGGAGTGAACGACTCAGAATCTCGCCTCCTTTGTGACAGGTGTACTGCCCAGCATCTCCAAACTCTTTGACTTGGACAGTCAAGGTTTTGCCAGAGCCCAAGACCTCACTGCTCTGGTCTGAGGTCCAGGTGATACCGTCTTCTTCAGGAGTGTCACACGTGAGGACCACCATTTCTCCAGGAGCATCAGGATACCAATCCAATTCTACAACATAAACTGGAGAGCACAGGGATTGGAGAACTGGACTGTGTATTCTGTATCACTTGGGCATCTGAATGGCTGAAGCACAACCTTGCTAATAACAGCAAATGCTTGCTGAAGATGACCTCAGGTTATCAGGCTTCACTTGGGTTCAAAATTGTGAAAGAGAGAAGCTGAATGTAATAGCTGCCACTGACTGATTGTTAGGTTGCCATTAATAGTTAACTTCTGATTAGCTGGCAGATGAGGAAGACCTTGATACACCAAAAAAATGCAAACAGCACAATATTCTTTCTCAAAGTCTTGGTGGACGTAGGAAACTTCCAGCACAATTCACGTTCATAGAGAATAAGTGCTGAAAAGGACTGATGAGGACTGAGATCCTGTCTCCACTAGCTGGCTGGGGAATTTTGAGAAAGATACTTAATCACCATGTGCCTCAGTTTCCTTGTCTGTAAAATGACAATAATAATAATAGTATCTGCCTTGTAGGTTTGGCTGTGAGGATTAAATGAAAAAAGCATGCAAAACAGTACAGAATCTGTCACTCAGAATTAGCTGTTATTGTTATTCACAGACCAAAGTTTAGACAACTGTGCCAGAAACTGCTTTCCAATTTTCCATGGGGATTGAAGGATTTATTTCCTGTTGCATGAAACTCACCAATGGAGATTTTCATTCTCTCTTTGTTTTTGAAAGCTACTTTACACTCTTATAAGGCAGTTCAGTAGATCTTAGTCTTCCCATTTTATAGAGAAGGGTACTGAGACCAAGAGGTTAAGCAATGTCACATCAAGTTAGAACCACAAGAGTTATGTCTCAGGCCTTTGCACTGAAGCTTTAATACCAGCATCTAAACTGGCACTTGAGGAATGGCCTAATATTGTATTTTGAAGAGTATTTCATATCAAACCTTCATTCATTCATGCATCAATTATTAATTAAATAGAATTATTTAATGTAGTGGTTCTCAATGCATGATCATCCAACTACTATCAGCAGCAGCAGCACATTGGACTCTGTTAAAACTACAAATTCTCAGTTACTGAATCAAGAACTTTGAGCTGGGTCCAGTGACCTGTTTGTAATCTCTGCAGATGATTCTGAAACCCACTCTAAAGAGCCATGGTAGTTAAAAGCCTGGATATTGGAGTCAACACAGGTCTGGGTGAGGACTCAGCTCTATCTTTTACACTGGCCTGTGGCCTTGGTCAAATTCAATTACTCTAAACTTCGAGTGTCATCATCTTTAAAATAAGCAACCTATTAGAACTTGTTCCAGAAGGTGGAGATGTGGACTATAAGAGCTAATTCATCTAAGAGCTTGACACAGTGCCCTTAAATGCTCTGTCACTGCTGGCTCTTGTGATGGGCATCCCAATGTGAATCGTTTTGGAATATAAAGTTCCCACTTGACATCAATTACTGAATGGGTAACACAGACCCAGTGTAAAAAGTACCTGGGGCCCAGCTCTGAAAATGGTCAGCTGTGCCAATATAAAACCACACGGCACTTTTGACTTTCTCTGTCACACTGGTGACCGACCAGCAGGGCTATTTTCCTGTCACAAGTAAGACTCAGAAGCCGAAGACACCTGTCCAAGGGCAGCGGAAACAGCTGCATGAGGAGATGTGTCTAGAACCTAGCGCCCGGCAGCATCTCGTCTCATTGCCAGAGTCGCATGCCCTCTCACTGTTTCTCATTTTGACTTTGTGGAATTTCTGTGGTTTACCAAATCAGAGGTAACTAAGGGCAGGCTATGCAAGGGCCATAGCTCCTGAGCTTGCTCAGACTCCCAGAGCTGGAAGGGTTTGGAACAATCATCTGGCTCAGACCTTTCTCTTTATTCAGGGGAGGGTCTAAAACTCTCAGACTCTCCTGAGGCAAAGTAGGGATGGTTGGATCCTTGTCTTCCATAAATTCTGAAGAACGGAGGAAGAGCCCCAGGTTTCTTTCAGGGATCCATTGTAGTGTATTCTCACTACTGAAAGATGATTTCTCATGATCAGCTGCAATGTCTTCATTTTAAGTGCATGCCTATTTCCTCTTGCTCAGCTGTCTGAGGACAGAGGAAACAATTGCTTCATGTCCTTCTGGTAAAGCCTTCTTCAAATACTTCAGTGCATAAGCAATGAAGTGAGACAGAATTGGGGTCAAGTTCCTGTTCCACCCTTACCGGGTGAAATTTGGCAAGTTACTTAATCTTTACAGCCTCTACTTTTAACATCTGTAAAATGGAATATAAACACTTCCTATCTCTTATGGTTGTTGTGAGAATTAAATGAGATGCTGTTCTCAATAAACATTATTATTATACAATTAAAGACAGTAATTGTCTATGTTATTACATTGACATCAAGGAGAAATATCTGAGGGCTTTTCAGGAACACCTAACAATCTGTTAATACATATTTGTTGTGTGTGAGATAGTAGAAGGATAGAGGAAATCCCTTATTCTAATAATAAGTAACTATTATTCTACTAATAATTTTTATTGATCACTGGGATATTAAATAAATGGCCTTGAATCACCAGACACATTATTTTAAACAACCAAAACAATAATACTAGCTAACGTTCACTGTCACTTCATCATCTGTTGAGTTGTCTTCTGTATTCACTAGTATACTCAATAATCTTTGTAGCAGATATAACTTCATAGTCTTCAGTTTACTTGAGGGAACTCAGGCTTGGAGGTGACCCAGCTCAAGGCCACATAACTAATAAGCGGCAGAAATCAGCCCTGAATGGAAGTCAATGTAGGTCTAAAATCCCATGATTTCCCCAAAGTACTTGGTCAGAGGTAAGTCATCTCAGTGCTAACTGAGGGTCTGATATTGCAGGGTGGAGTGGAAGACATAGTTCTTATACTTTTCAAATCCCTCACGTTGGAATCTTTATCATATGATACAGCTGATTTTTAGTAATACTGGTAAAGTCTGTATCTCTTTTCCTACCATAGTCCACCAAAAGCTCCTTCTCTGACATTTAATGTGAGAGCCAAACAATATAGATACCCTCAAGCCATACAATACAGATATCCTCAAAGGCGGAACAAGGACAGAGGGCCACTGTTATCCCAGAATGAAGCCCCAGTGCCTGCCCATTTCAGTCTAATTTCTCAACAGGACTGCCTGACAGTCCTGGCTTAGGCCCTGGGACCTTTGAAGAGAATCAGGAAAGGCTGGTTACCATTTTTCTCCAGTTCCCATATGGCCACAATGGGAGATGCCAGCAAAAGCAGGGAAAACCAGGAAACGACCAACTTCTGAGGGTGCATCTGCATGAGGGGCAGAAACAGAGGAGGAGAAGGAAGAAAAGAGAAAAGAAGAGGAGGGATAGGAGAAGAGAAAATGTCAGCAGTTACACAGTCACATTTGGAAACCATATTCACATTCTATGTATTCCATTTGTCTTTAATCTTTATCTTCTGCTTCCTTCTCTGTGCTTTCAGGTTAATTTGCAATGAATTCCAGGAGCCCTCTGCTAGTCTCTGGGTAAGAACATCTCCAAACAGAGAACCACAGTTGATCTGGAGCTGAAAGAGACCTAAGGCCAGCCATCTGATACAATCCTCTTATTTTTAAGATGAGAAACCTAAGGCTCAGAGAAGGAGAGTGACTTGTCTGGATTGACATTCAGTCATTATTTACTCCCTATGTAGATGGTACTGAGCTAGAACAGCTGAAACGGAAAAGGATTTTCATCTGGATCCTGACATCCAGGAGCAAATACTTTCATCCAACAAGTATTTATTAAGTCACTTTGTTAAATCCCTATCCTCTGGTTGGGGAAATAAGCTACATATCCGTATTATTGTAGCACAGGGCAGTATGTGCAGTGACACTCAGGACTATAGGATTTACATTGTGGGGTAGGGGGGTCATATTTGAAGTGATCTTTCAAGTTCTGGCAATGAGTTCAGCCCTTGTTAAAGAAGTTTCCTTTCTCTCCTGTTTAGGCTGTAATTGTTCCAAACACAAAGATTATTTCCTCCCATGTAAGGTAACCAGTGGTTCTCAAACTTGAGTGTATGTCAGAATAACCTGGAATCCTTGCTAAAGCACAGACTGGTGACCCCATCCCCTACCCTGACCCTAAAATAACTGATTCAGCAGTCTGGGTGTGGGAATCTGCATTCCTATAAGCTTCCAGGGGAGGCTGATATTGCTGGTCTGAGGACTACTCTTCAAGATCCATTGATTTAATCCATGTCCAGGGTCCACAGCCCCTGAAAATCAAGATGTTCCTTGGGAGAAGACCATAAAATACTGAATATTCACCACAGAGTAATTAAATGCACACTTTTGTGCTAAATCAGCCATATTATAGTGAATTCACCATGTTACAGTGAAACTCAGTCAAGATATCCAGGGTTTATGAAAATTTTCAGACTGAAAATTAGATGGAGATTATTATTTATTTTCAATCTGACACACCTCTATCCATCTTGGCTCTCCAATGTTCTGTAGGAATATAGTTTCAAAAACCACTGGGCTATACGAAGACCAGAGTCAAAAAGTTTTTGGCAAAATACCTTAAAAATGAGCACGCCTTGGTCAGGGTGACTAAATATTGACAAATCATGGCTGTCAGAATGGTGCTAATTCTAGGGGCACTTTGCCACCTACTTTATTCCCTTATATTATAAAGGTTATGAGTGGCAGAGTCAGGACTAGAAGTCAGCCTTTCCCAAGCACCATCAGCACTCTTGTCACTGCTGCATGGAACTTTCAGGGGCACACTTATCAGTTTAGTTCAAGTTGTGACTCTAGTGAAGTTCTAGTTGCCACAGAGGACCAGTTATGACATTTGTAGGCATGCAGTTCAGCAGCATGGACTTGAACTCTGGCTTGAGCACTCACTACTTGTTTTATATTGGCCAAATTACTCTCTGAGCCTCAGTCTCCTCATCTATAAAATGGGTATAATACCCATTTCAAAGCATTGTTGAGAGAATGCAATGAGATGACATATTATAGAAGCCACTCAAACATATTAGCTTGTACCCAGAGGAAGAAATAAAGTAAGAGTTTAATTTCTCTGTTGTCCATGATGGACAAATTAAGAAGTTCTGCCTGTATATATATATACTACTGTGTATAAAAGAGATAACTAATGAAAATCTATTGTACAGCACAGGGAACTCTGCTTGGGCTCTGTGGTGACCTAAAAGGGAAGGAAATCCAAAAAAGAAGGGATATATGTATACATATGGCTGATTCACTTTGCTATACAGCAGAAACTGACACACCAGTGTAAAGCAACTATCCTCCAATAATAGAATAAAATAAAAATGAAAAAAAGTCATGCCTGGCTGTAGGGAAATGCCCATAGAGGCACTGCAATTATACAGGCCTATAAAACCCAGATGTCAGCACTCTGGGAATGAAAAAACAGAGATTCCTGGCACCTTCTGGTGAGTCCTTTATGCTCTTTTAACACTGGGATTTTCCCTTTAGCTAGGTGCCCAGCACTTCCTCTCTGGGCCTCAGATGCATCTGAGAATATCAGGTGAACCGTACTTCATGGTCAAGAGAGACTTGGTGATGGTTCTAAGAAGCAATGCCCATTTTTGTATCATCTACATTTTAAATCACTGGACAGTGGCGGAAGGTGGAGATGGTGCCGGGCTACTCTCTTAATCAAACCCAGGGGAAACCACAAAGAGGCTGCTTGCAGTTACCCGGTTGTTCTCTAGATCACCTGATACCATGGGCTTGAATTCTGGTTCCACCACTCACTAGTCATATGCCATGGGCCAAATTACTCTCTAAGCCTCATTTTCCTCAGCTGTAAAATGAATGTAATACCCATCTCAAACGGTTGTTGGGTTGTATCCCCACAGACCACATTTTCTCAGCATGCTCAATTTGAGAGTTTTAAGGATTAAATGTTTGAAAATGTAATTTGACAGGTTTTCTAAACCCTTGAAACCTTCATATGAGGGATGTAGGATCCCCAGATCCTGTGGTGTGTTAAGGCTCCCTAACGCTGGTGTTAACATGGGCATGCCAGTGACATTTGGCTGAGCATCTCTCTTTCAAGTTTTATTTCGTTCATTACTTTTTAATCAGAAAAGAGAATTATCATTTAAAGATAAAAAGACATAGTCACAGAAGGCATGTGTAGCAAATGCAAATGGTCCTAGTTCTTGAGATAGGCAGCTCTGTGTTGGCATCCCAGTTCCACCACTTGTTAGGTGTGTGACTCTGGTCAAGTCATTTGCTCTCTTTGAGCCTCACACTCCTAATCTGTAAAATGGCCACCCTGTTGTGATGAAATGCTAATGAAATAATTCACATAAAGTATTCAGCACGGCGCCCTGATGAAGGCAGGACTCCCGGCTGTCTCCTCTCAGAGCTCCAGTCCTCCTTGGACAGCACTTACTTAAGACAATTGCAATCATATTGCTACTTCTTTCATGTTTGTCTTCCCCACCACACTGAGCTCTCTGATGGAAGCAACCATGTCTGTCTTATTCTATACTTTGTCCCCAGAGTCTAGCAGAGAGGCTCTATCTTAGAGGGATTTCATTATTAGAAGAATGAATGAATGGACAGAAACCATAACATTTCAGACTCCAATAAAATGAAGTCTCAGAGGCTGCCCAAATTCTTTCTAATACCTTGAAATACTTCATTTGAAAAAAAAAGTGGGCCATCAGCTCAGGCTTAGTAATCTCTTTTTAAAAATGATATTTTAAGCTAATGATTATTTTTTTAACCTGAAAATTATTGCTCATGATTTACCTGGGCAACTATCAGACACCAGTATAGTAAAGATGATCATTTTTCCCTCTTCTTACAGATTTTAAAACTTCACAAAATAGATCACCTGATACCATGGGCTTGAATTCTGGTTCCACCACTCACTAGTCATATGCCATGGGCCAAATTACTCTCTAAGCCTCATTTTCCTCAGCTGTAAAATGAATGTAATACCCATCTCAAACGGTTGTTGGGTTGTATCCCCACAGACCACATTTTCTCAGCATGCTCAATTTGAGAGTTTTAAGGATTAAATGTTTGAAAATGTAATTTCACAGGTTTTCTAAACCCTTGAAACCTTCATATGAGGGATGTAGGATCCCCAGATCCTGTGGTGTGTTAAGGCTCCCTAACGCTGGTGTTAACATGGGCATGCCAGTGACATTTGGCTGAGCATCTCTCTTTCAAGTTTTATTTCGTTCATTACTTTTTAATCAGAAAAGAGAATTATCATTTAAAGATAAAAAGACATAGTCACAGAAGGCATGTGTAGCAAATGCAAATGGTCCTAGTTCTTGAGATAGGCAGCTCTGTGTTGGCATCCCAGCTCCACCACTTGTTAGGTGTGTGACTCTGGTCAAGTCATTTGCTCTCTTTGAGCCTCACACTCCTAATCTGTAAAATGGCCACCCTGTTGTGATGAAATGCTAATGAAATAATTCACATAAAGTATTCAGCACGGCGCCCTGATGAAGGCAGGACTCCCGGCTGTCTCCTCTCAGAGCTCCAGTCCTCCTTGGACAGCACTTACTTAAGACAATTGCAATCATATTGCTACTTCTTTCATGTTTGTCTTCCCCACCACACTGAGCTCTCTGATGGAAGCAACCATGTCTGTCTTATTCTATACTTTGTCCCCAGAGTCTAGCAGAGAGGCTCTATCTTAGAGGGATTTCATTATTAGAAGAATGAATGAATGGACAGAAACCATAACATTTCAGACTCCAATAAAATGAAGTCTCAGAGGCTGCCCAAATTCTTTCTAATACCTTGAAATACTTCATTTGAAAAAAAAAGTGGGCCATCAGCTCAGGCTTAGTAATCTCTTTTTAAAAATGATATTTTAAACTAATGATTATTTTTTTAACCTGAAAATTATTGCTCATGATTTACCTGGGCAACTATCAGACACCAGTATAGTAAAGATGATCATTTTTCCCTCTTCTTACAGATTTTAAAACTTCACAAAATAATTTTAAACATTGGAGTTGCTTTCCATTGTTTAAGTCATTAGTTAACCCAAAAGATCTAGTTAACTCAACTATTAATCTAGTTGATTATCACAAGCCCACCACAAATATGGGACTAACTATGCTAACAATATACAGTTATGAGGTATAAGCATGAATTCAATTATTTATTGAATTTATTATTACTTATTGAATGAAAGGCTTTTAGTAAGTTTACAATAACAAGGAAAGCACCACTCACTTTAATTCTATACAATCCTTTAACTGATGAATGTTAATATTGAAGAAAACATTTTTATACACATACTACTTTAAAACAAGGCAACCTTTCTAAAAAATATGCATTCCTTCACAGACCTTAGTAAATAATTATTATTAGTTGACTTTTAAAACGAACACTTTATCCCCCTGGACAGCTTGTGGGGCTGTGGAAGGGGCGGCAGGGGCTAGGGAAATGCTTACCTTGCTTCTGTTCAGGCTGCAGAGTCCGCTGGGGCTGAAACAGTTGTTTCTTCTGCTGCTGCTCCTGTTGCTACTATTGGAGCTTATATACCCTACTCCTAACAAGCTTTCTGATGGAAACTTAAACTAGAAACTGACTTGTTCCAAATTGCAACACTGAAAACAACTCTCACAACCTTCTGGGGAATTTCAAGTAGTTCCTTTTTTCTCTCTCTCTATGTGTATCAATAACACTGAGAGAACACAGGCATCAAAATCCCAGGTAGTGAACTAAGAGGAAATGACTTTTGGGTGGGGAAAAAGGAAGGAGATGGGATGCTCACTACTTTGAGTTGACATCATGGCCGAAGAGATCAGAGACAGTAAGAGACAGTAAGAGGCAACCTCCCTGGACTCCGCAGACAAAAGAAGAAGGAAGAACAAGGAGACGTCGAGCAGGAGGATAAGTTCAGGTCAGGATCCAGCAATTGTATGCTAGAGGGTTGGAAAGCAAAAATCTACAGTCCTCCTGAAGCCAAAGAGGATGAGATGAGGGCAAAGGTTTAGTATGTCCTGAACGCCCTTCCCCATATTATGCCTTTAATGTGTGGATTTCAGAAACATACTCATACTACCCCTCTGTCCCTCCCCACCCTCCAACACACTGTGCACATTCATAAAGACACAGCCCTGGGAAGATGATAAACATGTGCATTACTAACAACACTCAAAATATGTAGGAATATTGTCTATGCTCATAGGTACTTACTGATAGAAGGATGTGAGCAGAAAGTGAAATATCCACAGGCATCTAATGCCACACTCAAGGTACACTCCTTTGGGCACCCACACTTCACACTCATTTTTACACAAATCTATGACCCTAGGAGCTCTACACAGATGCACAGAGTTAGCATAACTATCTGGAGATTTCCAGCAGAGCTTAACTAAGAGAGGTGCAAAGGTGTACATCGGTTTTAGACACCCCGACCCCCATCTGCACACGAACAGAAACATTAAAAACACCTACACCAAGTACTACAGGGAGCAAGTTCAGGCCGTGCTCAAATACGTATACCGCCGACAGAGGGCGCTGCTGCGAAACGTTCCCCGCGCGGCGTCCCGGGTCCGCGCACGCTGTAGTGACTTCTCCATCCAATCCTCAGGTCCCAGCCTCGAGGGAAGTTCCTGGGGCCGGCCGGGTTTAAGGTGGGTGCAGATTTCCGCACTAAGTTTCCTCGCAGTCTCAGTCAGGGAAAACGGGGAACCCGGGCGAGAGCGGCGGAGCTTCCCAGCCGCACTTCCTCCCTCCCGCCGCTGTCCCGGCCGCGGGGGGGCGGGGGCGTTTAGCAGGCAGTCCCACTGGTTATCCGGCCTTGTTCTCTGCCTTGGGCGGAGACGGTACCTCCAACGCAGAGGGGCATCTCTGGGCTTCTCTGCCCTCCAGGCTTGAAGGTGAACGGAGTTCTCAGGTTAAACAACAAAGGAAAACGTCGTATGTTTGAGATATATGGTTATGTGAGCAAAGTAGGTTGTATTGTATGTTGGTGATTTGATTGTGTGTGTGTGTGTGTGTGTGTGTGTGTGTGTGTGTGTGTGTGTGAGCGTATGTGCGCATGCGCTTTTTACAGTGGGCATCCCTTGAGTATAGCTAGGCAGTGATGGGGCCTTTTCACAGTTTGACTTTTTTGTTGTTTTTATATAATATACACATGCATTAAATATGTATTAAAATATGTACCAAGTCGAGGAGTCCTTTCCTGTAGAAAGACATTCATTTCCCCCAGTAAGTCATCACTGGCTACTGAACAGAAAATTGAAAATGAATTTGACATGAGTTTTACTAATTCATTTACATGACTGCACCAAAACAGATGAGACCTTTTGTGACCCTCTGTAAATATATACATACATAAAATAAGACAAAACATTTAAAAATGTTCATAGAATCTTCTTCAAAATTTTTAAAAATCGATCTGAAGCATAAAATCTTTAAAAATAGTGTGCTTGTTATGCAAAAAATAAAAGCTTCAAGGTAAGCCTTTTCCATCACCACCCCCTTTCCCACTCAGATTGCAGCGTCAGGGCAAGTCTTATATGGAAAGTGTGGGGCCACTACTGTTCACCTATGCCAAGGGCAGATAGTATGTGTTTAAGAACATAGGCTCTGAAAGTAGAGACCTGGATTCCAGCACCTGCTCTGAAAATTATTAATGTCTCTAAGCCTCAGTTCCCACATCTATGAAATGGGATTAACAATAGTACCTGGTTTGAGGTTTGTTGTGAAGATTAAATGAGATATGATGTAATGCATTTAGTACAGTATCCAGCTAAGTGCTTAATAAATGGCTGCTTTTACTCATTTCTTCATTTTGTCCTGCTTATCCCAGGAAGACTTGTTAGCTCAAATGGGGACATTGAAGATGGCAAGAGGAATGAAAGAAGTCGGAGAATTAATGTGAGGAACCAAGAAGAGGACTCCTCGTTGTCCTCATGCCGTGAAACCACGTGACTGCAGCTGGGCCATTAATTTGGCTCTGACCATTCAGGTAGCCAAGATGAGAAAGAAGAACCTGTACTTGTCCGACCTCTGCCCAGAGGACTGACTACCTATTTTGATGAGGCCACTTCACCCACTGAGGAAAGTAGTTCTCATACTTTATCCACAGATAAGAAAAAAAATTCAGGTTTTTGGGCCCAAGCCTCAGAGCTTGTGACTCACAAGATCTGAAGTGGGGCTCAGGAATTTCCTTTTTAGCCAGTTTGCAGGTGTTTCTGACGTGGGGACTGTTGCCCACACTTTGATACATGCTACCCATCCCCTGTGCTCTACCTCCTGGAGATAACATCCACTCCTTACTCATCTCTGGACACCCCACAAGGCCGGCCAGCATCTGGTGATGTCAGCCCATGTTCTGATTTCAAAGAAGAGGTTTATCACCCTGTCCACTACACCTTTCAGACTGAGCCTAGCCCCCGGCAAACTGAACCAGAGCTCATGATGTCCCTGTGGCGTTTCCTCTGGGAAAAGGCAGTTCTGCTGACAGACAGCAGGCATGCTGAACTGTAAGATAGAGAGGACTCCCCTAGAAACGGAAAATAACTTGAAGAATTTTTGACCACAAACTTTTTTTTTTTCTAGAAGAACACTCTGAATTTCTAATACAAGTTTCAAATAAAGAGGAAGCCATGTGTACTCTGTGAAATTGAAATATTAAAAAAAAATTACCCAAGCAATGCATGTATGCATGCTATTGTAAAAACTTCAAACCATAAAAATAAAGATAGAATAAAAAGTTGAGGTGCTGATTCATGTGGCTCCCAGAGGTCACCAGTGCCGACATTATGATGTGTGTTGCTCCAGAGACTACTCTTGGCCCTTTTCTATGTATTTATATCTATCAATCAGAATGGAATCATAGTGTACATACTTTTCTGCAAATTGCTCTTTCCTTGTGATAGTCTGTTTTGTGTCCAGCAGCCTCCACCTGTCTTTACAATGAAAGTGTTAGCCAAGTTAGGTTTGTCCCTGAACTACTAGAGGATCAGGATCCCATAGGAGTGGATACTCCAACCAGATGGAAACGGCAGGTCCCCAAGGATGTACCTTTTAGATGAGCCTGATTGGTTAGTACTGCTGACAGAGTGAAGCAATATGGCAGTTTTGTGGCTCGTGAGGACCAAGGCTTCTTCCCCAGACTGGTCAGCTGCTTTTGAAGGAACACTTGCATTTTAAAGGCATTGGCAGTAATTTCCACCTGCCCTTTCAGAACTGTGGTCTTGCAGAAAAAAATATTGGAAGTTTTTTTTTTTTTAAGAGGATCATTTTTAAAGTCTTTATTGAATTTGTTACAATATTGCTTCTGTTTTATGTTTTGACTTTTTGTCTACTAGGCATGTGGGATCCAACCCGGGATGGAACCCACACCCCCTGCATTGGAAAGCAAAGTCTTAAACATTGGATCGCCAGGGAAGTCGCTGGAATTCTATAGACAAAAATTTAACAGTGTGTATCAGAGTGGTACAATAGTAGATTATTCTTGTCTTTTTTGTGATTTCCTAAATATTCCAGTATGTCTAAAATGAACTTGTATTGCTTTCCTAATCAGAAAATGTCATTGAAAAAGGGATAAATGAAATATACAAAAAGGGCAGAATGTTTAGTGATTAGGAATTTGCGCTCTGTAACCAGACAGTCCTGTGTTTGAACATGATCTATATGTCAGATATAACTGAATATGTTCTTGGATTATAAACTTCTCCGGGGATGAAAGTTGCCAAGTCGCTGTGAAGTGCTGTATTTTATGGATAGTGATGGAGAGGCGTCTGCCTTAGCTATGATGTTTCCTTGAGGCAGAAGACTGTCTGAAATGATCTCATTCAATTACTTCAAGTGTCCTTCAGATGCCTATTTTTTGTCTTAGTACTTTGTAAAAGATCCCTAAAGTCAGCTTCATTTTTACAGAAACTAAGATGTCTTCACCAGCCTCCTCCCCTTCAGCCATGGCTCTGATTATATTTCTATGTCATCCTTCTCTCCTGGGCCTCTGCTATGTAGGCAGCAGGTATTGGATGTAGTTACTTCTGAAGTTCATCAACCAAGTGGGCATCTTTGACCTGCTCTACTGGACTGACTGCAGAGTAAGTCAGATATTCCAGTCGGAAATGGATTTTTCAATTTGCATATGGAAATATTTTTCTCTTCCCCTCTAAATGCAATTTTATGTTAATCTCAGTGAAAGGAATGGGTGTGTGTGGACAGCCGGAAGGAAGTGGGTGTGTCCTGGACTGTGGACTTGCCGAGGTGTTTAAATGCTTATGTTGGAAAGGTGTGGAAGCAGTTGGTCTGGTTTTGCAACTAGCAGAGACAGAACAAGGCAAAGTGGGACACAGGTGAGAGGGGAGGCATCTGGGGCGAAGTCCTACCATCTGCTGTCTGATGGTCCCTTTCTACATCAACTCAAACCAAAAAGATGATTATTGCCTATCAACTGGCCACCCTGCATTTGCAGGATGAATTGTTAAACTACCATTTAGTAAAGAATATTGCTGCTACTCATCCTGGCACACATAGAATCCTCTAAATAAGAAGTAACTTATTTAGACAAAAAAACAGCGTCTGTGATTTGGTGCATCTTCCATTGTAACTGATGATTTGGAACTCACATTTGAGGCTACATTCATTTCTTTGTTCATAGGAGTTTGTGTTCTTCTGGGCTTTTATTATATCTCGCTCTGGAAGTCTGCTCAGGAAGATAACTATTGACCCTAGTCTCTTGCCCTGTCATTTTCATTCCAATTTGGGGGTTTAAAAACTCCTGTCTGTTTATCTATCTTTATGTTTGATGGTGCTTTAAAAAATAACTCATGATTCTGGCATAAAATCAAACAGTACTAAGGTTATTAAATGTGTTTGCCTTCTTGAAGTAGCTCCTGGACTCCCCATTGTGAAATTGTTTTTTACCATAGCCAAGTCAGGCTGTCCTAAACTTACTGTTCACATTTGGTGATAATCTTTTAGTCATTGTATTTGAATATGTAACCACCAAATATATGGAACTTAATTTTACTTATGTTTTTACCAGGTGAAGATATTCCTGTAGGCTTTGGCGGCTAAAACTGTCAGACTTGGGCACTGCCATCAACAGGTTGTGCTTACTCTGGGGAGACTTGATAAGGCATGAAAGTTAAATGATGCTAAGAAAAAAAT